TTTTTTTTCTCCCTCTCTGCGCCCCCACCCACCCCTTTCCTTTAATCTCATTATTTTAAAAGTTTGAAGCCTAGTTTAAGATTTCTTAATACTCAAGATTGTGATAGTGCTTCAGTGTGACAACTACTTTGCCTCCAAATGCACCACAAAAAGATACTCTTGCCTTGAGAGAACCCAAAACTCTGCCGGGTAGCAATAAGCAAGTGTCACAGAAGACAGTAAAACATTTCTCTCCTCAAAGACAAAAACACGGGAGGAAGGGCTTACCTAACACACAATCTGGGAAGTTTTCCAAAATCTTTGTTTAAGAAGTGTTTAGTCTGACACAGTTCCCTCTAAAGCCCTAGAGAGATCCTAGAAATATCCACATGAAGACAATGCATGAATGAAAAAGAGCTACTAAAATCCTGTTCCAAACTATGGTTCATATCACTTTGTCTCAACACATATCTGCACTGCAACCGCCGAAAGTCCAATGCAAGGCATTGCAGGACTGCCTTTCTCAGCACATTCCTACTGGATGACACTTCATGTGAACATGTGTGAAATCTGTACCAGAAGACTCATCTGTCACACACGTCTCTTGTACACCAAGGATTGTTCTGCACTTTCTTCTGATGTTCTTCTTTAAAAAAAAAATCCCCAAAACTGCTGATGACAGGACACTAGATGAGAGGGATATTTGATCTGATTCAATATGGCAATTGCTTGCTCAGCTATTTTATTAATTGATACCACTAGCAGTAACTGGAAATAGTTTGATGCCTGATATTTGCAACCAAGGAGCTGCAGTCCTGCTGCTGCTTCATCAGATCCTTTGCAGCTGTTTTCCAGGTAAGCTTTTTTTCTTTTTTTACCCTTTAAAAACAGAAACAAAACCAATCAACCAAACCAAACCCCAAACACCAACTCCTGGCTCTGTCCAGTTATTCTCTGATCCAGCTGCTCCACAGCTTGTCCAGCGCAGCCTGACAGCAATCAGGATCAAACCTCCTCTGCTCCACTTCATCTTTCATTGCATTTTTTCCTCCTGAATCAACTCTTTTGACTGCAACTCCTGGCTCAACCTAGCAGTTCTCAGGATCAATCCAGCCATCAACCCAATTCAATACATAAATCAAACTTTACATCCTTTTGCAGTAGCCTCTTCAGAACTCCAAATAAATCAGGTACACCTTGTATGATTTCTTGCTTTGACACACTAAAGTCCCCTTACTACAAATCCAGATCAGAGCATTTCAGTCCAGTCACAATCACGTTGTCCAGGCACGTTGCTCCATGTTGCAAACAACATGAGTGGAAGAAGTGGTTCCACCAACAGCCCAATTCCTAAATTTAGTTCCCCTGTCTCTTCTCAGTCACAGCTTTTTGAGGGTAAGCTGTGCTATCTCGCAATGATTCATCACACACACCCCTCCACTGCACACAGGGAATCCTGACAGCGTTGTGCCCAGGCAGTCACCCCGCTCGCCAGGAGGGCCATGTGGCGACCTTATTCACACACTCAAGAGGTAAAGAAACATACTCTGTGGATCTTCTCCCTGGGGAAAACTAGTGGAAGCAACAGGTCTAGAGAAGCATAAAAAATATCGCTCTGTTTTGAAATTAGTAACCGTGAAATAGAACGAGTAACAGCTCCTTATGTTCTCTCTCTTTCCCAACACAGACCAAAGTGGATATTTTTCCTTCAGAGATGTAGAGCTCTTTTCTCTTCATATGCAGTTTATGCTGCATATCCATTTACTTCCACAGAGTATTTCCACTCCAAATCAAAAACCAAAAAAAGCACATCACTGAGAAATTAAAATATCCTTCCTTATTTAACTAATCCATTTCTAGTTGTCTCAGAAATTATTTTAACCTCTACGTGCATTTAAGCAAACTGTTTATCACTATGATTTCTACATATTTTGTAATATTATTTTACTTTTTTTTAAATAAAGCAAAATTCCAAGGAAATAAACCTTGTACTTCACTATTTCTTAAATAAAATTAAATGCAAATTTACACAAATACAAAACCACACGTGTAATCAGATACATCTCAATAACCTCTTCTCAAATCTTCATCTCTTTTAAAATGTTTAGATGTTAAAATGTTCACCATGTTCAAATGTTGATTCTGTATGTGTAGCAAATAGACTAAAACAGAAAGACATGACAACAATCTGCCTGTTATCCAACGTGACAACTATGTTTCTCACTCAGAATAACCAGTCCCTCAGAAGAGTAATGTATATCACAGATTCTCTCAGTTTTCATTAGTACACTATCTCAATTTCTCCAGGGAAATTATCTTTGAACAACATATCACTCTGCCCTTGGAACCATCAAACTGACATTTGACAAAACTGTGGAAGGCTCGAAAGTTAAATTTAAAACTCTGTTAGACCTTGCCTTACACATCTCTTTGAGCTCTAGCCTCCCACGGAAACAATTAGGAAGGCCAAAATCAGAGGCTGGTGGGAAAACTTCCAGCACTGGTTAGTATGTTATACATTGAAAAAATAACCATCTCCTCTTTATCTGCAGGCAGAAAAGTTTGGGGTGTATATAACTTGCTGTAACCTAAATGAAAAAAAAAAAAAAATTACTGTACTGATTCTTGTGCTCAGAACATTTTTTTATTATATAGGTAGATGCACATGGGAGAGGTGAAGTTCTGCCAATGTATTTGATTTTCTTGTTTGCTATCAGTAGCAATGGTCCATCATGTTATAAAACAGATGCACCATTTTTTTAATCATTCTAAAGCCCATATAAACATGGATGAATAAAATGACAGCTAAGAACACACTGATTAGCAGAAATTAAATAAATTAATAGATCTGTTTCTTAAGTTTTGACCTTAATGACGATTCAAGCTGCGAAAACTTAACACTTCACTGAAATCCCACAATAAACCCTAGTCCTATGCTACAACGTAGGACTCTAGGGATGGAAGTTGGCAGGGTTATGAGGACAGTTTGCTTCAGCAAGGTCAGCTGTTTTTTTAGGTCAATAAAACATAACAGAAATTGCACCTCCAACTGCTGAACAAATGTTTCTGCATACCAGTCATTGAATTCCAGTTAAATCAACCATAATGACAACCACATAGCATAATACCTTTCTTTAAGCTCTCTCTGGCTACAGAGATTTTCTATCAATGTTGAGTATGTTCTGACTGAAATGCCAGAGTGGTCACATTCAGACAATAATTTCATCATAGCCAACTCCAGAGTAAAGGCATTTAATTACTTTCTGGAAGAAAGAAAGGTTCTGAAAATAAATTAAGTATTTTTATAACTCATGTGTAACAACTATCCATTCAAGCACATTAAAATGTGCTCATAGTAGATAGATAATAAAAAGCAAGTGTTCATCCAATTCAGTACTGCAATCAATAAGCCTCAAATTTCAGAAATAAAATTTTCCATCTGGAAAGTAACTTGAAATTTTGATGTGTCAGGAAAAAAAATCCTCGTGTCTTGTCAGTCTTTTAATAATGAGCCTTGTTTCGCCATACAGTTTGAAGGCATCCATGTCAGAAACTTCTCTGACACATCTGAACTGTGAAACGTGAACGGTGCTTGGTTTTGAGACTAAATTATGAAAACTCTCCGAAATTGTCAAGCTTTGCTTCTATATGAAGAGAGAACAGAACAATGCTGTACAAAAACTATAATTTAACATAGGAATTGTGAAAACTTCAGATCTGAACACATTATAAAAGTAGATTGGACATTTGCCATGATTCTAGTCAAATGTGCTGCATGGCAAGCTGATACCTGGAACCGTATCTGCAAATGCAAAACTTTCATAGCTGAAATCCACCTGCAAAGTCTTTGTAGTATACACCCTACTCTATAATCCAGTCCAATTGATCTACAAATAAGTAAACACTTTCTACCTTGACAATGATCGAAAATCAGGTCTGTTCCTGCCTAAAGCAAAACTCCTTCAGCACAGGAAACAAAATTTCATGTAAGTTTTAATCAATTCAAGAAATTGAAAAATAAGGGATGAACTTAAGAGTATAGAACTGTCTTAAACACCTGTCACAGGAAAAATTTAAAAAAAAAAAAAAAAGTGACATTCTGAAATGAATGGGGAAAGGAAGAAGCAGATGAAACTGTAGTCCAAACCAGATAGTTATTAGTTTCTAAAATACCAAGTAGATGCTTTAAGACTTTGCTAACTTGCACTTTACAGCCATTCATAAGCACAAAAAAGAAAAATTAACATCAATGCCTACTAGAGAAAAAAATGCTGACTAGATCACTTTTTACTTTCAAAGAGCACCACAAGACATGTAATAATATTTTATAAGATTATAAGATTACTCAAAAACAGTGCACAAGCACAAACTAGTTAACTAATCTAAAATCTAGAAGAAAGAAAAACATGAACCTATGATGCTATATACAAACACAGCATATAAAATACACACGTACTTACACCTCCCATGCAGTTATGTGCTGGTCCAGAATCTGGCCAGCACAAACAGCTAAAAATTTCTGTACCAGAAGCGAACCACTCCAACTCATCCTATTATGTTTGCAATAACAGTGAAAGGTGTGACGGTAAAGTACCACGAATAAGTCTCTGATCTTATATATCTCTCTGTATATTATTGTCATTGTTCAATCCATTACCTACAGAGTCGGGCTGTTGACCAGAAAGTTATTCCCAATGTTGAATTCACTAAACAAAGATAATAAGTGAAACTGAAAGAAGAAGAAAAATCTCTACACAAAACAACATATGAATTGAATATGTTGTTAATAAAGATTTTTTTCCTAGAGACTTTCAATAAAAACTTTCATTTATTGTAAAGTTTCTGATCTAGAAACAGAATGGCCAAAAACTTCACAATAGGGACAAGCAGAATAAAAACAAAAAACAAAAAAAAGACAAACATAACTTTAATAGGGAATCAAAATGGCCAAATCAATGAAGCATCAATGAAAACCTTCATTGCAGAAGGAGCAATTAAGTAGGAGAGCAGAAAATACTGACCTGGAAGTCAAGCTGGTTGGAGTAGGGATGAAAGCAGCAGTTTGGAGAAAAACAGATAGGGAGGAAGTCAGCAAAAGAGAATAAAGGAAGGAACACATTAGTTCTTTAAAAATATAACAAGCAGATGTTATATCAGCAGATTTTATTAAAAAAAAAAAAAGGAAAGGAAAGGGGAGAGGAGGGAAAGCAAGAAGTAAAATAAAATTTCTGTAGCAGTATATCCTTGCTGTGCACTGAATAAAACAGACATTTTAAAGTAAAATGGCATCTTCTCATTTGTGGACTGTGCAAAGTCATCCATATTTATAACCATCCAAAGGTATACACACACCAAATGGAATGTCTCATCATATACCACAAAGTCTTTTTTGAACTGACACAGGTTTGGTAACCCACATTCATCAAGTCCTCCTGTGAAAGCCAAAACAGCTAAACAATTTGGCAGCTTGTTCAAATATATCATTTAGGCGTTCACAGAGCACTGTACCTAATAATCAAAGACAGAGATTTGCCCCCCTGTCCTGGTTTCAGCTGGGATAAAGTTTATTTTCTTCCTAGTAGCTGGTATAATAGTGTGTTTTGGATTTAGGATGAGAATAACGTTGATAACACACTGATGTTTCAGTTGTTGCTGAGCAGTGCTTACACAGAGTCAAGGACTTTAGAGCTTCTCATACCGCCCTGGCCAGCAAGGAGGCTGGGGGTACACAAGAAGCTGGGATGGGACACAGCCAGGACAGATGACCCAAACCAGCCAAAGGGATACTCCATACCATATTATGTCATGCTGAACATGCTGAACAATAACACTGGGGGGACTTGGCCAGGGGCGGTGGTGGCTGCTGAGGGACTGGCTGGGCATCATTCAGCCAGTGGTGAGCAACTGCATTGTACGTCACTTGTTTTGCATATTCTTTTATCATTATTATTATTTTCCCTTCCTTTGCTGTCCTATTAAATTGTCTTTATCTCAACCCACAAGTTTCACCTTTTTTCTGATTCTCCCCCCCATTCCCCTGGGGCTGGGGGTGTGTGTGAGCAGATGGCTGTGTGGTTTTTAAAGCCTCTCGGGTTAAACCACACTACCTCCCCAGGAACTACAGCCCCTTCTAACACTGACACCAATTTTTTTTCTTCAGTCTGAAGAATAAGGTCAATACTTTACCACTGAAAATACTCTGATGCTTGATAACTTATTTGTTAAAAAATACCAAACATGCCCTTTCAATTAAGTAAGACCAAAAGAAAATCCCTGCCTGACTGGACCCAGGTAGACTAATCCTTAAAGCTGCCACTGGTGTACAGTTTTTCATTCACTTATGAAAAGGAAATTTTTTAAAAGCCACAAAAATACTTTTTTTTAAAAAAACGCAATTATTCCATATGCTGGTGTTTTGTCACTTCCTTTCATCAAAATGGGACTTCCTTTCATCAAAATTCAAATACAGATCAATTCAGAATGAATTAATTGTAGTCTGAACACCCAAAGAATCTAAATGCATATCTATAGTGTTATTACCCCAAAACTTACCACCGCATATACAAAACAGATAACAAAAAAACAGACTTGTTCAAAAGCAAACGATTTTGTCTCATAGCTAGAATAGTTTTTAAATGAAATTTCATATTGTTGTAAGCTTTGCTGAGAAGCTACAATTAATCAAGCAAATGACCAACCACCTAACATACCACTGGAGAAAAGCAGATCCAAGATTCTGCAGTCTACGCTACGTTCTCATCACTTTATTTCTCTTTTCAGCCTAAATTTATTAATGGATGATTTATATCCATTGTATTATGGGCCAACACTCTTTTACTGAAATCACTCTTCTTTCACTGCAGTGCTTACCCCTTCATATATTTATAGAGAACAAGCATCCCAACCGAGCCTTTGTTTTGCGGAGAAACAAACCACTGTTGTTTAGACTCCTCCTGTGACACAAGCACTCCATTCCCTTAATTATCCTACCAGCCGTCTCTGCACCTGTTTCCAGTTTTAATTCAACCTTCTCAAATATGACTGATGAGAAGCGTACAGCAGTGTTCCACATGGAGTCTTGCTAGCGCTTGCTGACATTAATACCTTCCGATCCTTACTGCAGACGTTTATTCTGACATATCAGGATTCACACCTCATTATTTAGATGTCTGCTTCATTATTTGGAAGGCTCATAATGACACTCCCATAAGCAAATTCACCCAGTCTTTCCCCTCCTGAAGTGTATCAAGGATTATCCTTAGCTTACAGCAGGCTATCTTACTGGTCCTAACTTCACAATCATGCATTTTTTACTATTATATTTCACTTAATTTCATTATTCAAACTCCCTGGAATATTTCATAAATATACTTTTCATTCTAACACCATTAATAAAAGCATTAAACAATATATTCCTTCCATCCTGACAGTTCCGTTTCAGATGCAGTTACCTCTCTTTGGCTAGCCCTGCACCTAAACTTTAAGCTGATCACTATCTTACCAAGTTTCATATACATTAACAAAACAAAAAAGAAGCCCAAACCAAAAAAACACACCACATTTCCTTCTTCAAGAAACAGAAAGGAAAACATCAAGCTAAGTTTACTGAAGTTCATTATGCTGGGATGTACTGCATTTAATTTTAACCTGTTCTCATTATAAACAGATAAATCAGGAAAGATGTAATAAAAGTTAATAAACAGCTTTAGTATAGGAGAAGGAATTGGTTCTCCTATGTAGTAACAAGACATTATAAAATACAAAATTAATACAGAGAGGGTAATTTAAGAAACAGACCAACATGTTTTTGTATATGAGGAACAGCACGAATCATTAATCTTAAGTGATGCAGCTCAGAGGTGTGATAGTTTCCGAGGCAAGAATAATCACATGAAAACAAAAAAAAATTACCAGTCATATGAAATCTTCTTCAGGATTATTTATAATGTTCATCTCCCAAATAGCATACACTTATAAATTTAATTGCACATATCTTGAGGCAGATATTTCTACCCTTGAGTATTTGACACTTTGTGTCAATACTTTCTGACAAGTAGTAGAACAATAGTATTCATCATCTTCTTTTAATACTTGTTTGAATTTGTAAATGATAACTTTATTACAAACATTCTTACTTTTCAAACTGATTTATACAAGTACACCTCATTATGCTGATGAATTTATATGTGATTATAATAAATATTGTGAAGATAGCTTGCAATATTCTAGATTATAACACTCTCAAAAATTTATGTTTTATGTCCAATCCCCCTGCCGGAGCAGGACACCTAGATCAGATCACACAGGAACGCATCCAGGCGGGCTTTGAATGTCTCCAGAGAAGGAGACTCCACAACCTCTCTGGGCAGCCTGTTACAGTGCTCAATTATCTTGCGATTTGCATTGCAATTATCTTGCTATGCCAAATATGTTGGCATAGCAGTGAACATGGATCCCAACAAGCTATTAACCAATGAATACATTTCAAAAGAGGATTCATTTTCCTACAAAGAGGATTTTCCCCAGAGACACACTTGCATCTCAAGTTGGGGGAAATGTTGAAGATACACTGTTTCTGAGCAAGGCAAAAAAAGGAGAATAAGTAAGGAGAGAAAATAGCAACCTAGAGCACATTATATGAATTACAAAACAGCAGGACAAGAAGGAAAGAACATTTTCTAATATGTTTCTGTTAAAGCCGCAGTCATTTTCACAATGCTTTATTCACATAAAGTGGGTAAACTGAGCTTTGGCTCCACCTCTTCCCTTCAATAACGAGCCAATCAAGTAGTCATTACAAGCAGAAAAGGTAGTAGCACTTCATAAAATGTTACAGCAATCTTCACGCCACCTAACCCCCCTGAAAGGGGAATTTCAACATCAAAGTTCCCTCTCTAGGGACACCAACAGGTGGCACAGTTATACACAGATTGAGATCTTCAGGCGAATGTTTTTAGAAAATAAGGAAGAGGGAGAGAAAATTCCAGAGAAACCTAAGCTGAGCCTGATCAGTAAGAAGGGTTAGATACCCGCTGTCTAAAAATATTTCCCTATTACACCTTTATACTGCTGGCAGGTTCCTAGCCTTACTGGACTAATCAACAAATTTGTGCCTGTGCTTATGTATGGTGGAAAGTAGCTTCAAGACTCTATTACCAAATAAAGGCAGCAATTTCTGTTGATGAAATCAATAATAGGTAATTTTAATATAATTTTTTCCTAGTTTACAATAATTAACTTACATATACTGTGTGTATAGGAATTTGAAATTAATCTTGGAAATTGTACATAAGTTAAATCAAGTGAGAAACTGCATTAGAGTTAACAGAATTCATAAACAAGTCTTAGAGCACGATGATTCCCAAAAATTGCAACATAGTACTGTCCTTAGCTGGTCATGCCACAGATCTCTTATTGTAAGCATTACATAAGCACTTAAAAGTTCATAGCAAAGCTAACTAATTCATCACATTCCAAGTACAATATATCTTGTTCAAAAAGCCTGTGCTTACTCAATGGTACCAAATTATTTTCTGATAAGTCATTTCAGGATCAACATCCTCATCAACAATAACAGACTGGAAATTGGTGTCCCACAATTTCACTGATAAAAGTGCACTGAATTTAAAAAAAAAAAAAAATCTGTCCATTACATAACCTACTACAGGGTTCTCAGACAATAAGAGGCTATATGCTCACAAGACCGTAGTAATATCTCTGCATCTCTTGGTTCCTTGTTTCTTTGTAATCATTGTTTTGTAATCAATAATTCTCAATTTAATTCAAGTAAATCTACTGATCTATATTGATTCTTTATTTCTTTTTTAGATAAAATGTTTAAATCAAATTAACATTTACTAAAAATTTTAGATCACAAGCTTCACTACTTCATAATTTTCATCTTTTAGTCTTAGTTGTCATTTTAATATTCAACCGTTCAACATGTACGTGATTGCTACTTAACAAATACCTTAAGATTATCCTCAAACAAAAGTTTAGCACGTCTCCTATTGCATCTAGTGTCACACAATAATTCAGTAGGTTTTATAGGCCAATGAGGATATCAGCTACTGTTTTTGTAAAAACTATGCAGCCAGTTTCCACCAGCTTGGGCACACCTGGAGTCACTATATTACAAGCCTAGGTCTGTAATTGCCCCTACAGTACACACACCAAGGGGGAGAATATTCAGCACGTTCTTGACCACACAAATTTGCTCATCGTGTTATCTTTCCAATATGCTGCTTTAGGATTTTGGAGAGCTTAGGCAGAACTCAGAGTCATGGTGCACAAAGTGACCACTCTTCATTACCAGCTTCCTTTGGTATCTACTTTACACATTAAAATCAGTGAAACACTAGAGCATTCAAACTCCTTCTGATGTGGTGAGAGAGGCAACTGCTAATTAATGTTGTTCTCATGGAAACAGCTCTGTTTTGAGTAAAAATCTTTTTTCACTTTAAATTTGAGGTCATGACACTTTGATTGATAACCATATACCATTCATTATTATCATTATTAAACCTTTGCCAAATATCTGCAGAGAAAGTTAAGTTTTGGCAAAAGATCACTGTGCGGGTTGATAAGTCATCATCAGTAAAAGATGTTCTACACATCCCCCTTTCCAAGCTGGATGTTTTCCTCCCCCTAAGGTAACCAACGTTTCCAGCAGATCTCCTCTTTCATGGTAATTCTCCCTGATGGGACAGAGCAGTGCTGTCTTGAGTGGAACTATAGGAATAATCACAACAATTAGATCCCTTAAACTCTTTTGGAACCATGAAGCACTTTTCTTCTCATTTTATCACTAGAAAACAACTATATAAAATATTTGAAAACATAAAATTCCTTCTTTCATTTACCTGAAAGTGGCTAAGTGCAGGAAGGGAACAAAGAAGTCAGATCAACATAAATTGCTTATCAATCAAATTGCAGCATACCATATGGAAGAACGTTCCAAGAATCATTTAATTAAGAAAGTGTGAGATAAATGGATCCCAAAACCCTCCTGTCTTCATTAAGAAAAGACTATACAACCTTCCCAGAAATAAGACAAACTCTGCCTGGTCAGTGTCAGAAAATATTCATTTGAAGAGGACAAAGACTGCTGAAACACTGAGAAATAGTTACGAATATTAAATAGTCATGAAACTGGTTAGAAATACTTACCAATACTTTTCAGGACCTTCAAGAACTAGTGATGCTGTTCACACTGAAGAAGCATGTGTGGGGACAGTTTTGATTTACCTATTACCAGAAGATCGGATTGTTCCCCAACAAGGTTTTCTGGGAGGGTTGTTGTCATGGTAAATTGCATATGGCTTTTCCTCTATGTCTTCTTTTTATGAAGACTACTAAAAAAGTGGAAACTTCAAATCGTTCCAAAGTCAGAAGACAAGAGATGCAGCTCCCTTTTATTTTTTTTTCATTTCATTCAATTTTACAAGACATAGCAAATACTCTGTTAAAACATATTCTACTCTTAACTTCTCTGCTCTGCAATGAGGATCAAGCAAATAAAAATGCCACTCAATATAAGACAAATAATACAAGAATTACCTTTCTAACTCAGCAATTTTCTTATCTTTGTCATTCTTTTCATTCTCTACTTCCTTGAGTATTTCTAGAAGTCTGTCAACCTCAGCCTGAGCCTTGCCACATTCTTCTCTATAGTACGACGCCTCTTTGTCAAGCTGTTTCATTCTGTCTGCAAATTCTGGATTCATCCGTGCCTCCTCTTCAGCCTCATGAGCCTTCAGAATCAATATTTAAAAAAAAATAAGGACGACAATCATTTATATAGCTTTAAGAGCTTTACTTCTTCAGTATCGGAGTTCAAATTTTCATTAAAAAGGATTACGGGTATCTCTGTCTGATGACAATATTTTCTACAGAAGCACTACAAAAAGGAATTAAAATATCTTCATAGTCTACAATTATAGTCAAATGCAATCATCCTGAAGGGGGAGGGGATTTATTAAGGTTTTTTTACACATCAAAGTGACTGTATTTTAAGGGTGTTTTTAAAATTTAAAAAAAAAAATCAACTTGTACTTCATTTAATTCACATTAAGCTTTTCAAGTGTTTCAAATATATAGGCAATTTCTTAAAAAATCATATGCTCTTTCTTTCCCCATATATATACATATATACACACAGTTTGCCCATGTATATATACACACACAGATACATATATACATATTGCAATCTGTATAACCAGATGTTTCAAATGCAGTTTGATACAAAGAATTTTAAAGGAATAAATTGGTTTTATGCAGTGCTGTTTTTATACAAATGAATAAACTAAAATGTTGCTTTCAGCAGACATTTTACCCAATAATCCTTTTTCTCTTATCATTAATACTTAACCTGAAACATCAGAAGAACAAGCCCATTGGTGAAAACGGCACAAACCTGGCAAACACATGCATGGATGGGTGGCAGTTTCACAGACAAGAAAGAATGCAATGAATACAACAACAGTGCAGAGCCGAATCTTACTCCCATCAAATGGCAAAAACCCAATTAACTTCAATGGGAGCATGATCTGGCATCAAGTGCTTTAAACTGTTGGCTGGAATAATCACAGACAGATGGAAACAACAATGCACTGCAATGCTTAGCCTACCCCTTGCTTCCCATTATTCCTAATTGGCATCTTGAAAAAGCAGGCAAGGAAAAAACAAGTAGTTTAAGGCAGTGCACATTAAACATAGAAAATTCAGATAACATTCTCTTCACATACAGGAATTTTACAGAAATTCAGGATCTTTAGAACTGAAGGTCCTCCAACTATCTTATCACACAGAGAAGATGTGAACTTAATCATCTTCTTAATATCAGGGAATGGACAATGCAAGCAAGCAATGAAAGAAGTGCAGATCAAAATGAAACATGTGTGTTTTGGAAAGAATTAGTATAATCTACAGATACTAGAAGGTTCATATTCTTTGCAATGGTTAAAATTCTATGTATAAATAAAGTCTGGGTTTAGTATAAAGACAAGAATTAAAAAATTGAAATTACTAGGGAAGAAACTTAAGGGGTTTGCATGTAACATATCATTTAAGCATGAGGACAATAAGAAAAAAAAAGATAATATATTTTAAGTATTATTTATCCTACTGTGAGATTTTTATTCAGAATAAATATTTGGTTACCAAGATAAGCCAAAGGAATGACATGAGAAACCTACGAAACCTACTGGCCTTGCTCTTCAAATTCTCTATTGTGGATAATAATACATGCTCCAGCCCTGATGTCTATGCAAATACAGGACTTTCCTAACACAGAGCTCCTTTCAAGGTAACATCCAAAGAGTATCTTGATTTGACAGTTTGGGTGAGAAGGTAGCAACAGATTCATAAATTTCAACAGATTTCATCTTCATAAATCTTTCTGCTTTAATAATAATAAACTTTTCTTTATTGTATACTAGGTGTCAATTGTGTCAAGAAATTTACTTTCAACTAGCTTTGTAATTTTTGAAGTAAATTTAATACTCAGACCCAGAGCCAGATATGTGATACACTGCAATTTCCAGCTGCAAACCACTTCAATATTCCATCAGCTCAATTAAGATATTAGACAATGTTTTCTCTCTCCTAAATTAACACAAAATGTTCTTCTGTAAAGAATCAAAATAATTACATAGTTGGTAAAGGCAAATTCTCCCTAGAAAAAAAAATGCAACCCAACTCCCGCCTCTAAGGTACTAAGAAACCTATTAAAAGAGCATGCTGTTCCCTATTGCTTTTCAGATTTCTCCTCCTCTCCTAAGGGTAAATCCAGAATCTCACAGTTCCCCTCCAGAAGCTATCACTCTCTCATATTCTTCCCTGCCAGCTTGCTTTCCTTTCTGTTTATTTTAGTGTACAAGTCACTTGTTCACCAGCCTTGCCTCCAGCATTTCATAAACAGGCATAACACACACCCACCTCCCTGCCTCTGACCAGCCTTTTCTTCACTTTAGCACACAGGAACTCTCAGCTTCGGCCCAAACTTTTTTTCCCCCTGCAGCTCTGCCCTTGTTTTAGCCCAGGACAAGAAGTAAATGCAGAAGAGATAGAGAAGCCTGTCCTTTTTTTTTTTTTTACTTTTCATTGCCTCACTGGACTTTCTATGATGAAAATACATAATTGGGCAAGAACATGATAGTGTCACCAATGCAAAGGTACCAAATGTTCTGGAACAGGTTGCCCAGAGAAGCTGTGGATGCCCCATCCCTGGAGGTGTTCAAGGCCAGGCTGGATGAGGCTTTGAGCAACCTGGACTAGTGGGAGGTGTTCCTGCCCATGGCAGGGGGGTTGGAACTTGATAATCTTTAAGGTCCCTTCCAACCCAAACCGTTCTGTGATTCTATGAATACACCTGTCACACTGCAGCTCAGAAATGTATTGAACAAATTATCTACTGCACATCTTATAACTAAAACATCACCTGAAATAATATATATTATATTCTTCAGTTAGGCCTTTAAACCTCTCTCAATAGCATCATAAGGAAATTAATGTTAAGTTGCAAAAAATATTTTCACTTCTTGTGCTTTCTGTGGTACTCATGCCATTCCATATTTGTAGATTATGTTTTTAGAAAATTTTGTATCACAAACTTGGTCATTATATTTCCCTATGGTTCTCAGCACGAAGCAGAACCTATAAAATATGATTAAATCAAATATGATTAAGTATCCAACCTATATGGGGTTTTGAGGTGCAGCAGTTATCCATAATGCCACATACAAATCAATATAATCATTCAGTTTGAAGACAAGCATAAGATTATTCTAATCTAAAAAAAAAAAAAAAAATCCTAGTATTTCAAACCACCAATTAAGTTGGTTTCCTCTACTTTCACAAGTTCTTCCTACAGAATATTTTTGGGCTATTGTCAGGAATCTGATTTTTACAAGGGCATTGCCTTAAAGAAGAACGAAAGGAAAGTTAGTTAATAAAAGGGTGAGCAACATAAAACATTTTGGAAAAAGAGCTTTCTGCAGGTTGTACACTAACTTGCAATGAGTCCCTTTAAGGGAATCCTCATGTTGTAAACAAAGCTGCCCATACTGCAAGAGAGCAAAACACAATCCATCTGACAGTCCCAGGATAAAGGCATAGAATTACTTATAAGAGCCCTATTATATTTTACGGCTCTGAAAGATGTGTTTGGATTTGAACTAGGCACTTTTTTTAATTGATATATACAGATCAGGGGTGATTTGTTGACAGATGGAACTTGACTTTTGAGGTCAAACAGTAGGCCCAAAGGAGATGAAAGGCAGCTCAGCTGATATTGACCCTGCTCCCATCCAGCCAGAGCAGATTTCTTTGGCTTTTTTGCAGGCTGTAGGAGACAGGCTTGGATCACTTCTAACCAGAAGCTGCATGGTTATCACAGGAATCAGAAAGTCTCTGCTCTTCTATGATTTTTTTTTTTCCATTTCTGTCCCCCTTTTTCTCCCCGATTTCTCTGTTTTCTTGGGAAGAATACATTCTCTATTTTTATGGGGCTTTTATGGGTAAGAGTGACTGAGTCATGCATACCTTTCAGCAGCAAAGTAATTGATCTCTTATCTCTATCTGTAAATGATAATACCTGTGTGTGCAGAATAGGCTAGTTTCAGCCTAGCACACTTGGGTTATGATGTTTTGTCTGTCAATCAACTGTGGTGTTGTACGGTATTTTTACAATTCAATAAAAATAGCATAGCACTCAAACATTAGAATTTCACTAATTTTACAGTAATTATTTATCTTTTCTGATACTTGCTTAATAATACGGCAAATACTTTAGAAGTAAAGTAACAATTCCTTATGTAAACCACAAATTTCCTACAGAAACACTGGAACAGTGTGGCACAGACATGCAACATGAATTAGTCCACTAAAATTTTATGCTACAATCATGCATGCATTATTCTGCATAACAGAAATTGATGGATACAGTGTTTCATTTTTAAAGCTTCAGACACAAACATACAAAGAAAACAAATGAGAACTTGATAAAAAAATGAAAAAGCAGAATTTACATGCAAGAAATTACTTTGTAAGATCCTTCAAATTTTATTACTTTCAAGAACAAACTAAAAAAAAATGCTGTCACCTTATTTTTTCTGTAGTCTCCTTAAAATTCAAGGGTTTTTTATTTAACTTCTGGGACTAGTCTAAGCAATTTAGACTGGATTCTGCAAATACTTTAAATTTTAATCTGACATTGCTCTGATGAAGCACTTGTAAAATTAAGTCTCTGCTATTTAGAAAAAAGTTCACCAGAACTCCAAACTAAGTACATCATTATATTTTCATTACAGTACAAAACCAATCATGCAACTTCTTATAATCAATTTTGGATATTTCAAAAAGTTCACCTTTCAAAACACAAAGAAATGTGCACCCAATTCTGTTCACATCTTGTTCACACAGGTGAATACATTCTGCAACCGTTTGCTATAGAGTGTGCAGGATTTGCTCCCTTTGTGTATCATCTCCACTTTGGTACCCAAATGTGTATAAGAACAAAACACTTCTATCCATTGTTGTATATTTAAAACATTAGATTCAGCAATATGTAAAAGTCTTGGAGTTGATACCTGTGTGACATAGTGGAAAAAACACATTCTACCATAAAAAATGCTGTATCACTGCATGGGCTAAAAGAAGTCTACTCAGAGACTGTTATTTCTGCGATACATGTAAACAAAAGAGCATTAAAATTTCAGTATTTTAAGATTAGATTGCAATCTGGTTTTTTATAACACTATTGTTCTCAAAGAAAAAAAAACAGTAAGGAAACTTTCTATTAAAGAAAGTATCATAATGATTTGCAGTACAAAAAAATATGTCAAGCAACTGCTATTATGCCTTCTCAAAGAACAAAGGTGAAATCTCGGCCTTGTGGAATTCAAAGAATATGTTGAAAGAATCAAATCACAGCTTCACTTTAAGATCTTTGGTGGCTTTGGGGGAGAAGATCATTGCTACTTACGTTGTTAAAAGCAGACTGATACATATGTAAGTAGGAGAAGAAAGATGATGAGCAAAAAAATTTTATTTAACAAAAGCTGCCACGTGGATATACTACAATTGCTGCCTGGTGCCAAAGGAAAAGAACCTTGCATCCATTGTATCGGAACTGCCAACAGGCTGTCTTTTTGACAATTAAGCACATAAAGGCAGAAAAATATAATTTAAAAAGCACTGACTGACTTCAGAATAGTGCACACAAGTAGACTAGGAAGTAACAAATGAATTCCATACAACATCATAACTTATATTGCAATAATGACTGGAAAGCATTTATGAAAATCAAGAGAAAAACTAACACGAAAAGGACTCCAGTCTGAAAAGACACGCACAGTAGGAGTGCGAATGATATGAATAGAAACATAACTACCACAAAGGTGATCCAAGATGAGAGAGAAAAAAAGATTTTGTCATTCAAAGGCAAAAGCTCTTTGACCAGCAGCGATATGGATGGCAGAGGTGATAACATCAGGTCTTATGCTATTTACAATCAATTTATAACTGGATTCTAAAAACAGTTAACCATAGTCATGACATATCCGTTACATGATTAGAAGCTACAAAACTTAGCAATAATAGACTCCGAAGCTGGAATTCTGGTCCACTGACATTAATGGCAAAATTCCCATTAACTTCAGTGAAGGCAATACCTTCCTTAATGCGCAGTATCACATTACCTAAGTTACAAAACTAGTTCTTCTATATATACTATCCCAATTACATGGTAATTCCAACTACGATTACTATGTAAACTACAGCTTGTAAAGTGCTATTATGGTTACATCATTTTTTCTGTCCTGTGATGCTCACAGCACATTAAATCTAACAGTCTTAGCCAAAAGAAAAAGAAACTATTCTCTGCAGGGAGAATGTATAGTACCGCTCTTTCTCAAATTGAAAAAGGAACACAGTTGAAAAGGTAGATGTGCAATTAAAGCAGACACTGGCAAGAATAATAATGGTGAACAAGCCAAATTAATACTCTTGGGCTTTTTCAAATATCATCCTTTGTGTTCATCATTTTATATTTCAGCATTTTCTTCTATTAAATATAATGTTTCCATATTATTAATGGATATATGCTGAATGTATACATTCTTTTAAGAGTCAAACTGATCTGAACTATTTTAATCAAATGGACTTTCGAAAATAGTACCCGTCACTTCCTAGATATTATTATTCACATAATCAATTCAGTCACTTAAGATAAACTGAATAAATTAGAGATTTCTTAAGTTTGAAGGATCAAATAAAGTACCGCAGAAGGAGGAATTAAATAGCAAAGCAAAGCAAAAACAAAACAAAACAAAAAAAAAACCCCACCCAATCATCAACATTTGCATGCTTTTTCTAATGGAGAAGTTGAGGACCCAAAGGCTATAATGTTTGTTTTCTCAGAAATACTGTGTGTACCTATTTAATACATTTCAAATTCTTAAATTGGCCTTGAAGTCCACAAAGTTGACTTATTTGGACATAATGAATGTAGCATAGTGAGCACCAGAAATATTCTGCAAAGGTCCACAGAGAAAGAGCACAACACAGTAAGGTAATGGATCCTCATGCTTTCATATGTTACAGCGGGCATTTTGAAAAGAACTTACTGGATTGTACATCTGATTGAACAACTGTTCAGCTTGCTACATTGCAAAGTTGGAAGGGAGTGAAGCACAGACAGGAAAAGAAGGAAAGATCCAGGAAAACAGCATTAGCTCAACAAAACCAGTGCATTTGCACAGAAGAACTTGTCATAAAAAAGTAGAAATTTAAGATTCTAAACATTCCTTGGTGAAAGTGAGAGGCACTGGGGAAACATAAATGTTGACTTTGGCTCCTAAAAAAGAATAGATGGAGTAAGAAATTTAAGGTTTGTGTTACTTTTCCTTTCTCAAGTTAAATAACCCATGAAATAAAGAAAGGTGTCCACTTTTGATGATACATTAAGTGCTGGTCTCAAGCAATGAATCACAAGAAGTGCTTTTGGCTGAGGCTGCAATTTATCACCAAAGCTTCAAAGATGGTAATAATAAAAGATTAATTAAATCGTATCATTAAATTTATTACTTTCCTTGTTTAACACAAGCTGAATTTTCTATGCAGAATGACTTTCGAACAGTACAGCTTGGCAAAACATACTTCAGCAACCGCAAATATGTCAGTAAGCAAGTAAATTTAAGATAATGAAAAACAACAAAAGAAGGAAATTCTAGAGTGGATAACAAGATTATATATATATATACACACACACATATATATAAAAAGCATTTAGCTACCTATTACGTAATCCCTGCTGTTCTTTCACCAGTAGCAATACAAAGTAAGTCAACAAAAACTCTGGAGTTTTGATTAAAAAAAAGCACTGACCGTTCTGGGTTGTATGATCTTTTTTTTTGTTTAATTTTATGAATTTCAATCCATAATATCACAGTCACACAATAATAACTATTTACAAATATTCTATTCAGTACTTTTTGAAATGTATCTACTCTATAAAATTAAAAAAGCATTGACCATTCTGGGTTGTATGATTTTTTTTTTTTTGTTTAATTTTATGAATTTCAATCCATAATATCACAGTCACACAATAATAACTATTTACAAATATTCTATTCAGTACTTTTTGAAATGTATCTACTCTATAAAATTAAAGCAGGTGTTTTAGAATCAGCATGTTTTCCCCTGCTGAAATGCAAACAATCCAGTTATCTAATACTGAAAAATATTTGGATCTAATCAGACTCAATCAAAAACAACTTTCTTATCAATAAATGAATCTTATTGTCTCCAAAAACAGGAAGGAGAGGAAACAAGGGAAGAAAAACTTTAAAGATAACTAAAAAAAAAAAAAATTACAGATTTTGTTTGGACTTGCCACTTGTACGTATTTTCTTTCAGGCACAGTACTTACTACCATTAGCGCTCATGGAAAACTAACTCCTGGCAAATGCACTAGTTTAATTTGTTGAAACATATAAATCAACATTAAACTATAATGATTTTACAATACCATAATGAAAAGTACCTTCTCTATGATATTTTTAGAGAGAGGAGTAATGTGTAAGCTGCATTCAAATTTCTCAAAGTAATAGACAGCCCCTTGGAGTCACTTTTGAAAAAGAGATATAAACTGTGGCCATTCCTTCCAGCTTCCATAGTGGTTAATGTTCATACATAAGCACACTTATGGGACATGCAGGTTAATTTACTCTGGACTATGTTGATGTTCCCTCCTACTCCAACTCAGACATATGCAAGAATAACCCAGATTTCTGTTTCAGTTAGTTTCCTAAGGAGTGAAAACATGGTGAAGGTAGTTTTCTGGGGACCAATTACTTTTAACACAGGATATTTACAGGTTTGAACATAAAGTATTTTATTAGAGAAAATGTGAATTGAAAATTACTGTTTGGAGTCTACTATCATTAACAGTCACTGTTTCTGTTCAACTAAACATGCCCACAAAGAAGGCTGTAACTACATTTTATTGTGGAAATGCATGGTCTCCTACAAATGTTGGATGAATTTCCATTGGGGCTTTATGCTGTATTTATGATATAATAAAACTATTATGTTTTCAACTTTCATTTAATAATCCTTTGTATTTATACACAGGGAACATACTCCCTTTTTATACAAAAGACATCCCAGACACTCTCTTTTATAAGTGCTTATTTTTCCATGACTGTATGATGTGTTTATATGTACAGTCATAAAAGACTGACTTAGGATTTCAAGTTCTTCAAGAGGATTTTTATTTTTTTAAGTGATCTGTGCTTTTAGGGTTTTTTAATTTTCTTCATTTAAAAAATAGTTAAGATATTTCAGATTGTATTGAAGTATATTTTGTAGTGAAGTGCAAAGTAAACAACACATTTTCTAACAAAAGAAAAGGAAATACAGGACTTCCAGAGAAATAACTTCTTTGGATATTTTAATTCTGATATCAATAGCATTTATAAGCTATCAAACATTTAAAGTAGTTGTGTTTCCATTAAAAGCTTTTGTACATGTTTCTTGAAAAAGATTCCCTTCCCTCCTCTCCACAACTAAACATCTAACACAGGCACCTAATTGCACATATTCATTCTGAAGTTAAAAATAATATAAGGTCTACACTCTGGTATCCTCTATACTTTGCAATACCTTCTTCACAGGTGAGGCTATTGAAACAATGCTTAAACACAGAGCTGGATACTACTCAACCTGGGTAAAAAAGAGTGTCAGAATATTACCCTAATAGTGGTAACATTCATAGAAAAAAAAAATATTATTTTCTAGAAATTGAAACATTAGGTATCAATATAAAATAAATTAATGTTTGACATACACTTCATCATGAATTGCAGAAGGCAAACATAACACCCAAACCCATCAAATACGTCATGAGATTGGTGTTTGAACAATGAGAGCAGACATTACCAAATGACACAGAAAAAGGTCAAAGAAACAATGTATGGTAGGAAAGGCGTCAACAAACTTGCAAGTCATTTAAGCAAAACTATTTTAACGCATTAATTTCAATAAAACCACGTTATAAAACATAGAATTTGTATGTTTCCCTTTAAATCCTTGCTTTTACTACTTGCTGAATAGAAATACCAAACTGCTAGCTGAGATAAACTATGCATTATTTTGCTTAATTATCACAAACACGTGTTCACCAACAAAGCCAAAAAATTGCCAAAATAAATCCTAGCTAGAGTTTCCACTTTGGAAGCCGAATTTTTTTTTATTAGGAAGTACAACATTTCTTGGACAAGAATTTTTACATTTTTCCCATGCTACAAACATTTCAGTCTACTTCTAATAGCAATATAAATTCACATACATTCAAATTGCTGGTTTGATAATTTCTTTCTGCCCTTCTACTTTCCCTTCAATGTCCTGCTCCCAGTTCATCTATTTGTAGCAGCATCTCAGAATTCCCTCATATAGATATTCAGGATGATTTCTGAGGTTCACTAGTGGCTTTGGTACAAGCCACTTAAGAAAAAGCAGTATTTGATGTAAGCATCAGCAAACAGCATAAGATGGGTAGATTTTAGATTTACTCCAGAAGAGTAAATAAGCTCGTTTTCCAAAATGAGGGCATGGGATGTTGTTTTTTGTTTTTTCTCAATGTTGTTGCTTGTTTGTTTCAAGATGGAACTTACCTTTTTCAACTGTGCTTCCAACTTACTACACTCTTCTTTCTTTTGTTCTATGGCTATTTCTAAAGACTTAAGTTTGGAGTCTCTTTTCAGCCCTGCTGATGCCAATGAAGATGCATGTTCTTTGAGATCGATTAAACTAGACTGAAAAATGACCAAGAGTAAAAAGTTAATTCCTAGTCACCAGGACACTAACTTATTGCCAACTTAGCAATCACTTGGATCCTGCTCCCCCTCCCCTTCCCCAAAAAGAGTTGACACAAGGATAAGCATCGATAGCAAGAGACACTGTTTTGAGAATACAACCAATTGGAACCACAGGAGCTGGTATGCAGTGAAACACAGAAACATTCATAATACAGACAAGTTGACATTATATTCTGGAGGTACAATTACTTTGAAGTCCATTGCTCTAATAGACAAATGAAAACAAGAGCTGCAGTGGAATATTTGGGCCTACTGGAGACTTACGTAAAGGAAAAAGTAAGGATAATGACACAGAACTGTGCAAAAACTGAAACAATATTATATGTACAAAAGTGAGAACTATGAAGAACGCTTAAGAAAATAGCAGTTCAGAAGCTGACCACTGAAGCGTCAGAATTTCAGTACTTAAAATAATTCAAAAGGAATCCTAATGCACTTTCTTTCATCATAATGACATAGATAAAAGAACATAGATTTTATTGAAAAGACTGACCTCTTTTTCTGTCAGTTCAGCTTGTAAAGCATTAACTTTCTCCTTCAGGTCTTTGTTTTCTTTTTTATAAGATTCGATTTCTTCAAGTCTTTCTCTGTCATCTCGTTCCCTTTGTTCCTTCAAGCGCTCTATTATTCTTTCCTAACAAGGGAAAGAATTGCAAAACAGAAGAGTTGAGAACCATTTTAAGAAAAGACAGAATAACTTTTCTTTACATTAAGTAGCACTTAGAAAAATCAATGTTCAGAATCAGATTATTGAGTTAATGGTATTAAGGACAATGGAAGATTTCCCCTGATTTCAAAAGCATCAGATCAAGGCTTTAAATACTTGATAAGAGTAACATAGTACAGAAACTTCATTAAATATCATATTGATATAAGTATGTTCAGTCTTGTGATAAATACAGAAAGTACAGAAACTTCATTAAATATCTATACTGATACACGTATATCTAGTCTATTGATAAATGCAGAAAGTTATTCATCTCAGTAATGTATCCCCTATATTCATAAGCGATTGAAGTCTTGAATAAAAGTTCAAAACAGAGAGGCCATGACTGGTTTACTCAGCTTGAATTTGTGTTTTTTTGAACGCTAGTAGCCTCTATAGTGGTTGCAAGAAGTCTTCAAGTTTCCAAATCTAATCAGAAGTTAATCACTTAACTATCAGTAACTTACAGTTTACATGTATTATATTCTGAAAGGACAAAAAAAAAAGTTGTCCAAGACACAGAAAAAGTACCCTGATACTTTTTACTGATATCCAAAGGAAGATTTTTCTCCATCTAATTAACAGTAACCCTACATGTATTTAAACTCAACCATGTTTTTAAATATTTTGCTGACTTCCAGTTATCATTATAAGGACTGCTGAAAATCACCAGTCAAGGATTAGATGACGAATTCAAAGGGTGAAATGTAAAAAACAGATGCAGTAGCATGGTTTTGTTAAGCTTTGATTATTTTCTTCAAAATCACATTCTACCCATACTTGAAGGATGCAAATACCAAACAGAGAGAAATATTTAGGGTAAAATAAAATAAAATTGCATTTGAATTGGGAATAGGTCTAATTTTGGAAGTGGTAGTCAGAAGGCAGTGGAAGCAACATCATTTAGGAAAGTTAAACCTACATGGGACAAAAGTACATCCTGACTGATGAAGTTCTGCACTACCAGTTGCATGGCTCAGGTAGAACCATCAGCATACTCACGGATCCTATTCAAGTCCTTTTGTACTTACACTTGAAATCTCACTTGTAAACTTGACTTTAAGAGTGCAATCAAAACCTAAAATACTATTTCATAGAACCGGACAAGACTGATTGAAGACTAATATTATTATAAGGAAAAAAATCTCACACTAATTCCCTCTTTCCATGATTCCTTATACTGTCCCATATATACAAACACACACACTGGAGATATAGGTGTGTATATACACACATACATACACACACTCATGTATATACACACTACACATAAAGTTTATCTTTGCCCATATCAATATACTCTCAGCTGTGGTTATTGCATCGCAACAAATATTACAATGCAAGCAACATTCTAGCAGCTGTACATCCCATTCTGATTTGTAATAAACTTAAGCATTATAATGAAAAAAAAAATCATTATCAAAGTTAGTCAAAGTAGTAACAGCACTTTTAAAAAGTGTATATTGTTCAGACAATCCTGGTCATTTATTCATTTTCTCCATACAATAAGTATGATGTTCCTCCAAGCCCTAGAGGATCTTCTGAAGACTGCTTCTGTGCTTTTTAAAGCTCAAGGCATCTTCTGCAAAAAGCCAACCGTCAACACTTCTATGCATAAAAAAAGAACCTAAACTCAAGGCTGTGATTTTCATCCCAGCAGTCTCCAACCTTGGAGATATTCAAAATCCAGGTGGATGAGATCCTGAGCAAATTGCTCTAGCTGATCCTGCTTTATCTGTAATTTAATCTGCTTCCAAGACAGTATCAATTGTCTATGCACTGAGACCTCTGGAAGTGCAGATGTACACAGCTCCTGGATTCATTCAGCCCAATGGCAAAATCTCCCTTTGACTCACATCTGGCAGGATTTCAGTTGAAATGTGTCCATAGAGAAAGAAGGTCCTTCAACAGCAACATTGCTGAGTATTACACAACCAGCAAATGTACTATTTTCTTTTTAATTACTTTTAGGTGGCTTTTGCTACATAGATTATGCAAGAAAGGGATGATATGGGATACTAAATAACTTCAGGTTTATTCTTGCTAAAAAATAATACAAATTCTTAATCCCTTGAATATTAGCCTTAAAATGCCAGCCTCCACGAAGTGGAATAGTTTAATAAACATTCAGAATCCACCTAGTCATATTCAGAATTAGTTCTATACCAATTGCTTCTTGAAGATTTATTTATCTAAATAATTTTTTTCTTTTATAACAAATTAAATATAACACAATTTCATCTTAATAATGAACAGTATAATTTTTTTCTCAATCAGAAAAGACTAATTTATCTGTCAGCTGCATAAGGCTAAATGTCAAAAATGTGTTAAAAGGTCCTAATATACCATGTTTTACTTTATTAACAGCTAACTTGCAGAAATCCCAACAATGTGTTCTTGTTTCACTCTTATTTGCATTGGCGAGCTTTCCTTATGCACGAAACCAGGACCTCACAGGTCTAATCTATTTGCACTTTATCACAGAAGCAGGAACTGAATTGCCACAGCATATAGCTCTATTATCAGACATACTCAATTGCTTATCTCCTGTGTGCTGCTACAGTAGGACCAACTTTATAAATATCAGCTTCATGAAAGCAACCTCTTGAGCTGCTTTGGGCCAGTCCAAGAGCTGAGATATTCTTTGAAAAGTTTCATGTTAAAACATCAAGGAAGCTGATAGCAGTTTGGCATATTCTGATTTTCAAACTTTTTTTTTAATAGGAGTAAACTTATTTTTGATTTCTTGAGGTGTAACCTTTATTGTTGTTAAGAATTTGCAGTGCTTAGGAGGGGTTCCAAGCTTTGGAGTAAAGAACTGAATGAATACCTTTTCCAGTTTAGTACTGAAATGCACTCAAAAGTGACTAAAGTTGTGCTGATTCATTTCTGACTCCTGACACTAACAAGACATTTTTTTTTTCTGTTTGACAGAACAAATTATATCAGCAATATTGCTGGAAAAATGCAAAGATTAAAAGGAGTAAATGTCAGGAAATTTTGATGCTGTATATGATGTCTACAGTAATTTCTCATTTAGTGTTACCAAGCTACCTGATCACTAAATATGAAAGGAAAAATCTATCAGGGACAGATACTTGGAAAAATCTGTTTTCATGAAGGAGTCATATTTTCTATATTTTCTAATTCAGAGACAAAATCTCAATTTTATCTTTAAAGATAGCTTCATAATTCATTCATACACTATGATCATGTTTTAATATTTTTTTCTTCCCATAGAAACTAAGAAAAGCAATTGTGGTTAACTAAACTGGTATAAATAAATTTGATCTCTATTTTAAAAGAGCTTCCCATGTTGCTCTTGGAGTACAGTTTCTTCATTATTTTTTAAACTAAAATTCTAAAAACTCTTGAAATTACAAAGAATTAAGATAAAGCCAAAAATTGTGCCTAATCTCAGATAATAAAACAAGATGATATAGCTGCAAAGTAGATCTGATATCACTTCTAGGAAAACAAGCAAAAAAACCCAACATATTTCCATGGAAATCAGGTACTCTTGAATGAAAGCAGCATCCTTTCTTGATAGCATTACAAATTTAAATACTATTTAAGTACTTATATTGATGCACTTGTTGATAAGAATCTATCACTAAGGGCTCTGGTTTTGTCCCATTTGGACAAAAATCTATTCATATTTCTACAAGTATTTGCAGTGCAAAAAGGTAATAACTATTGATAAGGTCTGTAGGTCTTAATGCTACTGCAGACAGGAACAGGGGTAAGAAAGTTACTCACTGAGAGCAGCCAGGATGATTTGGAAAGCTGGACACAAACAGGAATGAGACACATACGCAAACAAACTGTCAAGGTATTTAGCTGTCAGAAGACACAAGAAAACTAGATATAATAGTTCATTTGGAACTTCTAAAATACGCCTGCTGGCTTCTCACAATGTGTAAGTACATCCCAGAAACTACATTTAAGTTGAGAAACCTACCCTTGAAAGCATGGCCTTCAAGAAACTTACAGTGGGAAAGAAATTGGGAATGATATCTCTGTACAACAACCAAAATCATACAGAGGGATGCTTTTACCTGGGAAACTTCCTCCTTATTGTGTCTAATGCTCTAAAATCAAGTACAGTGTTTCTCAAAAAGCTCATATTCATTCTACTCTGCAGTTTGCTTTTCTCCTTTTTTTTACCCAATATACTAATCACTTCTCAACCGTAAAAAAAATTCCTAGTAGCACACAGTGACTGGTTACATGTTAAAAGTGATAAAGCTCACGTGTAAAAAAAAAAAAAAAAAAAGGCTATTATTTAATAATTCCATGTATCTTTTCCTTAGATTAACAAAGTAGCATTTCTGAAGTGATATAGAACAGGTGTATCACTAACATATAAAGTACTTCCCTTCATATACTGCTACCTCACTTTTACAAGTAACAATCTCTCCATAAGTGGTTCAAACAGTCACCAGAAACCACAGCACAACTCAGCTCCACACCACTTCTCAAAAGCATTGGCTTCCAAAAGATACCACTGCCTTCATCAGCTGCGAAAAGACAGAAATCTCTGTGGCAGAGCAAAACACCCCATAGCATTCATTGCATACGTGTCTCAGAGTAGCCTGCAAACACTGCAGGAAAGATGCCATTCTCAGCTGACTGTACGTAAGGCAAAGTGACTACTTTGTACAGAATTCAACCGTAGAGACCCCATGTGAGTTCTAATTGATTCCACTTGGAAAAACCACTAATCACTTCGAATCTTTTAAAAAGTGTCTGTTCATATGTATCCATGCAATTCCCAATGAAGTAGACATTTATTACAAAAATATATTTCAGAGAAGGATCCAAGTTTATCTAATTTTTCCAAAACATTAAAATTAGCACCATTTATCAGACTTTGCACCTTTATTACTGCAATCAAATAAAGCTTGATTTAAAATTTCCATGCCACCAGGGTCTAACGTTGTCACATTTGAAGTTACCATATACACAAAGCAATTCTATAGCACAATTTTTAAACAAACCCTGTGACAAATCCTCACTACAATATTAAAAAAAATATGTGACCCGAGTTTAGTAAAATTTTGCAACTTGTATGTCTGACAAGAATAGAATATTTTCTTTTCAGACACATACAAAACTTCTTCAAAATGATAAAAAACTTTTATATTTATTTATTAGTTTACACTTATTTCAACAGATTTTAGAATGGTCCTGGTACAAAATGACTTGAAAACAATTAATTGCCACTCATTAATTTGGGTTAGGCTTTAACCCAGTACTTCTTAATCTTTTGTATTTCTAGTAGTGAGAATTCTATTCAATACCTCCATGCTAGCTGCTTCTACTATGAACCCTGGCAAACTGTCATTAATTTAATATTTTCAATAGGGAAATAACATTACAATTGAAGACAGATTGCAATTTAGCAAATTACCGCAACTAAGAAGTATTGCAGAAGTGCATTTTCTCTGAAGTGCTGCAGATATAGCTGAGGCAGAAAATAGGATACAAGATTTCTTTGGCTTTTGACAAACTACTTCACGCTCAGTTGCACAGGAGAACTGGCAAGACCACAGTGTGACACTCACTTTGCTTTCTACATCGACAACAGTTGCATGATGGTTAAAGGACTGTTTGAAACTCTCAGCTGCCTCTATGGGCATTTTGGGAAAGTGACAACGTAGACTACTCCAGAAAAGATAGTTTATCAGGAGGGAAAACAGATTTAAAAGTACTTTATGTAATTTTTAATAATATGCTGTGAGATTGGTGAGTACTGTGTCCAGATTAGCAGTCGAAGATTAACAAAATGCATGTTAACTTTCTTTACTGCATAAATGCTGTAAAACTAATCCAGATGAAGCCACACAAGAAAGAGTATGCCAACTTTATTCACTGTTGTTGACCAAGCAAATTTTAGTAAGGTGATTAAAATGTAAAAAGAAATCAAAAATCCAACATCAGCATTTTAGGTGTTTAGTGCCAACACCAACCACAGTGGCATTTTAAAGTCATATACAGTCATAAATACCTTCATAGGATTACACACTGCAGAATAGGACCTAATACTTTAATTAGTTGCACTCACCTGTGCACATTTAAGTGATATATATTAAGATGTGAGCTGCAAAAAGTGGATAGTTGTACTAATTTTTATGGCATATAAATTCACTTGGATTACCTTGTATTCAAAGTTAACTAGAAGAAAAACTCTGACCTCACTGAAACTGGTAGGAATGTTGTCACTAATTTAAACAGTGCAGATTTATCCCTTCTGCTAGAATTTTCAAAATTAAGGCATATAGTTTTTAAAGGGGAAAAAAAGGTAATTCTCCATTCTGTTATGCAATACAGTTTCTCTTATAAATTAAATGTAGGAAACCAATAGCATGAACAGCAAGCCAAGCTAACAGTTGGTACTAATTTTCATGGCATATAAATTCACTTGGATTACCTCGTATTCAAAGTTAACTAGAAGAAAAACCCTGACCTCACTGAAACTGGTACGAATGTTGCCACTAATTTAAACAGTCCAGATTCATCCCTTCTGCTAGGAATTTTCAAAGTAAAGGCATATAGTTTTAAAGGGAAAAAAAAAAAGTAATTCTCCATTCTGTTATGCAATACAGTTTCTCTTATAAATTAAATGTAGGAAACCAATAGCATGAACAGCAAGCCAAGCTAACAGTTGGTACAGTCACTTGCTGTTGGCTCTTCGGTTAGGCTCTGCTTAACAGACAAAAGAATAGGATAATAAAGATCACAAAGCCATAAAAATACCCAAAACTTTGCCTTCTTTAAGTTAGGTGTCCACGCCTTTCAGTTCTTTCAGGGAACAACCACTCATCCCATTGACTAAGGGAAAATCTTCCCATGTCCCAGGCCATTTACCCCATGCCCATTTAAAAGGGCAGCCTTCTTTACCTCAGAGTCCTGTTTCAGTTCATCACCAGGAATCACTCCTTGCTCATCCTACCAGATCAGAGCCACCTGCTTTCCTGACAAGGCCCATGGGCTTTGTCAGAGATGCCAGACCAACTTAAAAAGACATTTTCCGGCCACTCTTCACCTACCAGAGCAGCACGTAATGCTGTTCCATAAGAACACATTACCTTTTCTGATAGAGCTTCTTCTAAGGTCGCTAGCGCTGTGTCTGTGTTACTAGAATCCGTCTGTAATGACTTCACTCTGTCTTTTAGATTAGTCAGTTGTTTGTCTTTGTCCCTAAGTTGCTCCTGTAGATTTTCAATCTGAAAATTAAAAAAGATGATAATATTCATCAACCTTGTCTTAACATTGAAAGAGGGAGTTAAGTGCTAGGATCAATCAAATGCACGCTATCACACATATGATACATACACCTCAGTATAATGTCACATTTTTACATGGTATAATATCATTTTTAACTTCTGTCCTTTCTATTATGTTTTTCTTTGCTAAAAAAAAAAAAAAAGTATAATTTTCTAATTATAGGAAAAATCTCAGTGCAGTGAGGTGTTTGATTATTTAAATATTTTCTGATATTAATCACTTTAGTTTAAGGTACTGCATTATCTCAGTAATTCAAAGTATGTGTGGAATTACCCCTTTAGATTATTCCAGTTGCAATAAGAAGGACACAGAAAGGCAGAGGCAAAGTGAGTTCAGTGAGCCTTAAGCTGAGGAAGAAGATGATAACCTACCTATCTAAAGCCCTCTTCTATGTGCCCTGCTGTAAAGAAAACTCACCTGGACAGAGATCAGGATGTTTATATTTCAAAAAGCCAAACCCAGAAACAAACAACTAAAAACCCCAAACAATCCAAAGGTCACCACTTCCATTCACTTTCTTCATCTCCATGAAGATTTAAGGTATGTCACTATTTTGGATATTAAAACTGCTTTAAACAGATCTAGTTCTTCCACTAACAAATATTTAAACATACTGCTAAGGCACCTGTAAACACACTGGTTTGTTAAACAGGTCATGATTTATAGTGGTTAAGTCAGAAAGGTTTTGCACAAAAAATTATCCACAGGACCATGTGGATTTTGGAAGCAAATCTGAATAAAAGCACTCAGCTTCTGATTGTCATGGCAATCACTTTCTACGGCTGTAAGTCTCTGCGACCTTCTGGGAGCAATGCAGAGAGGACGTGTTATTTCATATGTGTAAAATTTCATTAATTGTCTGTCAGAAGAATCAATTTCCCTTTATCCTATGCTCTCAGTGCCACTCACTAGTCTGCCACTGGCATAAAACCAAAAATTTGTTCCATAACACTTAACACAAATAAACAGTAACAAGAAAATTAACTAGTCATTATTTCAGTATGCCACTTTATATAATGTGACAAAATATGCCTAAATCCATAAGGTATCATTTCTTCAAAACTGGTTTTAAATACGATGTTAAAATTAGACAAATTATTACTGCCAACACAGATTCAAATTCTTTCTTTCATCAGAGATTTTACACTTTGGATCATGTTCGGTTGCTACTGAAATGAATGAAGTTTTGCTGTTCATTTCATAAAGTAATGCAAATTTTCTCACGGCCATGTCATTTCTACTTAAAACAATTCAGATTTTAACAGAGTCAAGATCCTTCATAATTAGTGTTAAACTGTATTTAAAGATTCTTTTACAAATCCAAAGCTGAATTCAATGCATGTGCAGCTCTGCAGAAGTCAACAGTCATGTCAAAAAAAATTTGGTCTCCATATGCTAAAACGTATCACCAGAACCAAACACACTTTAATTTGGGGCATACATTGCTAAAAATTCTCTTCCTACTACATTATACATGTGCAGGAAAAAAGCCTGAAGTCAAGTTTTCACATTATATATATGTATAATCAACATACCATAAAATCCACAGTACAGCTGTGTGCACTGCATAAAGTCTGTTCAAATAAATTTAAATTTTAAAATAAATTTAATAAAAAATAAAATTTTAAAAATGAAAGCAAATTTGGAGGAGCACATTCCAAAAATAAATTCTTTATACCAGTATAGCAAATACAAGTATTATTTTTTTTTTCTTTTTTATATACGTAGTTTGCTATGTCTGATTGCTGGTATGGGCCAAAGATTCCATTTGCTCTGTAAACTATAAAATACTAAGGTACATACAGAGGTTCTTTGGGAAGACCTGACATAGAGTAACTCACTCCTGTAAGCAACCTCTCGTAATATTTTTCTTCATGTATATATTTCATACAGGTACAGAAATAAGATACATGTGTTAATGAGTTAAGAACTTTTTATTTTATGGCATGTGTATTAATCACATCTAAAATTACATTAACTGGCATTCAGAGGACTGCACACTGTGTTTCTTTCTTTACATTTGTCCAAGTATTGACTCCAACAACTACCTCATGACACCCTGTGGAATACTTAAGCAATTGCACATTTCAGCTTCACCAAAATAAACTCAAGCAAAAAAGGAAATAAAACAGGAGAGTGAATATTGATTACATGTTCTTTGAAACAAAGTTAAGATCTGGTCCTTTATTATCATCAGCTTGACCTACCAATTCTAGGCACCCTAATTTAAAGTACTTATTTCCTATGCACAGTGCTTATCTGAATTCCACAGCATTTACACGATTTCCTTCCTCTTAAAACTAATTTAAAATATGATCCAACCCTTAACCAAGAAAACATGTTCTAAAATTATTCAGCATTTACAAAATTCTTTCCTCAGAGGTAAAGAGAACAGGCAGCAAATTAAAAACATCCCCACTGAATCACAACCGCTTTAAAATAAGTCATTCAATTCGTAGTCCATAGATAAAATAAGAGGAAAGGATCTGATTATTCTTCTATTTGTGCTATATAAATCTGAAAGAAATAATTTGATGGCAACAGTACCACACTGGGGCATGTGAAAGTAGAATCACTGCTGCAGAGTATTTGTTTGTTTGTTGGGATGGGCACCGGATTAGTGAAGATCTGCTAAGGCAGGCAAGATTTTTGACTTGTTAATCACAAAGAGTTTTCTCAAAAAGATTACAGGAGACAAAGAGATTGAGCAGTCTCATGCTACGATCTTGGAACACAGGATATGATTTAGTTCTTCCTGGGTTTTTAAACCCAGAAAGAACAACAAACCCTTTGGTAACCTCTGTCATTCTCCAACATATATTTGGGTACAGGCATATATGTAAGGATACAATTTTATTGCTGAATAATGACTTTTGAGCATGCCTGAATTCAATTTACGACAGGGACTGTTAAGAGTTTCTTAATCCTCAAGCACTTATATTTTTATCTGATAGGAAATTAGTGACTGTGTAGTTTTGTCAACATGTAATTCTTACCTCTGTAAACTGCTATGTCTCTGTGTCATGAGCTGTATGAGAAGAAACTGCTCCATTCTTCCTGTATTTCAGAAATTGTGTCTATTCCCAGAGCTTTGAGACAGACTTGTATTCCTTTTCAAAAAACAATACCCTTAGAGATAAATGTCTTTCCTATGAGGCATCCTGTCAATAAACTGCAAGTGCTAATCTTGTCACTTTTTGATGATGGTCTCAGGAATGCTTCTTAAATACTCAAGGGATTAAATTAAATCTCACCCATAGACAGGCTTTGAAATTCTGCAGCAACCCAAGTCCTCAAAAGAAAAATAACTTTCATTATCAAAATTAAAGAACTGTACTATGGAATTTGCAATAAAATTATATAATCAAAGAAAATGTTCCCTGCTATAAAAATTTGTGCTTAGAGATATGCATTAAAGTATAAGAGAGTTTAAGACAGTGTAAGAGAGAATTTACTGAGACTTCCTAGGCCTCCCTAGTGAAACCATGAAGGCATATACTTAAACTTAGCTCCATGTATTTTCCTCTCTGTTCTGTATTTGAGTTTTAAATAACTCAGAGAACACATATTTTGTAACACTGGCTTTTTTCATCCTAAAATTGATTTTGTTCCATTCTAAATTTCTCTATGCAGAACTCTTTGAGATTTGTTTCATACTAAAACACAGGTCACTCTTCCAGTAAAGTAGATCAATAATATCAACTAGTTTAATTTAAAATTGGGGGGGGGGGGAAAGAACTTTTGTATGTATCATTTTCATTATGTACTAAAAAAAAAGTCTATTTTAAGAGAACAAATTTGACTGAACAATTTCCCAAGTACCGTTAAGTTATGATTCTACTTTAAATAGTTAATGGAATTAGGAAGAGAGAGAGATTTAATAAACAGCATTTCTCCAACATGAGCATTAACTATGACTACTTTAAACCTTAGTTTTCATTCTCAGACTTTAGCTGCTGCCTCACAGATACACATAACAAAAGACAAAATCATAACTATTAATCGAAACAGAAAAAAATAGTTATAGTTCAAATGCAAATACTCTAAATGTCTACTTAGATGCAATTTATTTTTATTAGTAAGACTCATTATAAATGTTCTGTCTCGTATAGGCCTTTCCAGAAACATATCAGTTTATCCCAGAACATGAAACCAGCTTTGTTAGTGAATCTGCAAAATAGATGTACCTAAAGATGTCCTAACATCTCCGTTTGTTTACATGTGTGTGCATGCATAAATTGTAATGAAATGATCGCACTCAAAGAGTTGCAGTCAATGGCTCGATGTCCAAATGGAGAACGGTGATGGGTAGCGTTCCTCAGGGATTGGTATAGGGACTGGTGATGTTTAACATCTTTGTCGGAGACAAGGACAGTAACCTGATGTAGTGGAAGGCATCCCTGCCCATGGCAGTGGGGTTGGAACAAGATGATGTTTAAGGTCCCTTCCAACCCAAACCATTCTACAATTCCATGGTAAATACAAAGAAAAAACCGAAATAGTTTTTCCCTACCATGACTGTAAAAATATTACTACCTGAAAGCTCAATATACAGAGGTATAGTTTTTGGAAAGCACTATAGATTTTTAGCCAGAATTTTTTACCAAATGATGTACGTTTCTTAAATATCAAGTCAGTCAAAGTATTTTAAAATTAACAGGCCTTACAGCAGCTATTTGAAGTTCCAGTTTATGGGGCGAGATGGGGAAGCTATGGCTCCATATCTTCCCCCTAATATTAATGATATGACCTAAATACATTTTTCAGTTTAGGCAGGATTTGAATTAACAAAATTAATTAACTGAAGGGCAGCTTCTGCTTCAACAGTTTAACACTGCAGAATTGTCTTTTGTTTTGAAAGAGACTAGCCCCAAAAGTGCTTCATTGTTCAGTACCACTACCTTTAACTTTGTTTTTCTTTCATTTAAGTAGGTAGAAA